TCTCTGTTTCTGGAATCACAAAAATTCTTAAAGCTGCTGCTTCTTCAGATAACTCGTAGACTTGGCGAGCTATATTGCGGGCTTGATCCATTGCTCTCTCCATTGCTTCATGTTGCCTTTTAATGGTGTCTTGAGCCTGCCGTAGAGCAATTCCAAGCTCTAGATTAGTTAAGGGTCGACTCTCTTCTAACTGTTCGATTCGCTGATGGCATCTATGCACTATGACTTCTAATTCAGTAATCTTCGCTTTTAAGGCCTCGTTTTCTTGCATGGTTACCTCTTGTGCGGATGAGTGGATCAACCCTGCTTCTTCTAGCTCTGTTATCTTCTTCTTTAACATCTCATTTTCTTTTTGAAGATTGTTGTAAGGGTTCCGAAAAGTCTCATCGATACTAAGAAGTTGTGCTTCGAGCTGTTCAATATGTGCTCGCCTTTGTGCTAATTCCTGGTTGGCCTTATCTTTTTGCTCTCTTAGTTTTCGAGCGTGTTGTGTAGCTCGTTTCTTTTCTTCTTGGCCTCTTTTTGCGCTTCTTTCTACCCTTTCGAGTTTTATATTTAGGGTCTTGGCAGTATGATGTAGATCCTGGGATCTCATATTCTTTTCTAAGGCCTGAAAATCTTGGTTTAGCGCATTAAAATTCTCCTGGACCTTCTCTTTCTCTTTAGCCAATTGTTTTATCACACCATCCTTCTTAATCATTTCGAGTTCCCATATTGTCTTCTCTTCCGAGAAGCTTCTCTGTTCTTTTTCTCTCTCTAGATTCATCAGTCGCATTTCCTCTTTTAACAACTCAGCTTCTGTCGGGAGCCTCCTCAATCGCTCTTCTATAGTCAACTTGTCCTCTAAATTTGTCTTAGGTATGTTGTTGTTAGTTCTCTACGACCTCCAAACCTCATAGGCCGGCGTGAATACAGGCTCTATCATCTTGAAACTCATGCATTGAGGCTTCTGCCAAGCCGCATAGATCTTTGAAATCCGCTCTCGGTAACCCAGAGTAAAGAAAGAAAACTCTTCCTCTTTTAGGTTGTGGGTAGCTGGTACGAACTGCCGGGTACTGAATTGTCTGAATACAATTAGCGGAGTATACCCGATCGCTCCCCATAATCCGTGCAGCATTACAAAACTATTGTTACCGCACCTGAAAAGTATGTCCTCTTTGGGTAACCAGTAAGCCTTCCATACTATCTCAATATCTTTTATGTTACGGAGAGCTTCAACCCAGTCTTTCCTCTTACGATGCTCGGGGATTTGGCATTTGTTGAGGAAATCCACTAGAGGTGAAAAATTTGATTGATGTCTCCAAGCCCAACCTTTCTCGACTATCCAGGAGTGGCTCCACCACCAAACTAATAATAGTGAGGCACATCCGGTGAACTGACCTCCCCCCAATCGTCTACACTGGTTCAGTGACGAGAATGTTTCCGCAAGGGCGAAGTGATCTTTTCTTCTTTTCGATGGAGTTTGCTCGTAAATTAAACTTTTCAGCTGAGCCCAAGAGATCCCCTCATCACGAATGTACTCTTCGACCCACTCTTTGGTCTTTCCCGTCAGCGTGATCATCTTGGTTATGAACCCCTTAGTGTAAATAGAATGTCTTCTAACATTCGGGATGTTCAGCAAAGCTGTATACTCCTTCAAGGTTGGGGTCATGTCTACTTTACCAAAAGTGAAACACCTGTAAGCTGGATTCCAACACTCGGCAAGGGCTCGAACCACCACCAAATCTATTGGTACTCAGTAGCTTTTTATAATAACTAGGTGATCTGGGAATCAGTACCGTTTATGAAATGATATGATATGATAATGATACATGCAATCAGGATACAAAACAATAAGTTAGTGATATTAGAATAATTCAAATAATCAAAGAATAATTATAAGTGATCTGGGAATCAGTACCGTTTATGAAATGATATGATATGATAATGATACATGCAATCAGGATACAAAACAATAAGTTAGTGATATTAGAATAATTCAAATAATCAAAGAATAATTAATAAAAATTTAAAGTATCGAATGCGAAATAATCAAAGAAATTTAAAAATCCTAACATCATGTGATCTAGTTTTTATAAGTTATCTACCTGGCTTTAACGGGGTAGGCTTACTAAATTCTTTATATGAGGTTGGGTTCTAGCAACGAGTTCCCAAGCTATCTTTACAACCTGCTAAGGTTGCCCCCAATTCTGGCCCATTACAGACTTGCGAATCGGTTTTAGCTTAGGGGATCACACCACTAAAAGCGTACCTCGGATCTGGTATCCGGATAGGCAACTTAGGGTGCTTTCCAAAGATACTTTGTCAGACCCACACAAGAAAGCCCAATGCTCCTCGTGAGGTGTGACGTTTCTCTCTACTTAGGTAAATCGGGTTTAAACTCGGGTTTAGAGCTTATGATATGCAACAGTCCTAAATATTCAAGGAAATGTAAGCATTAACCAGAGAGAAAATCAATTTTTTTTCTTTTGAAGCAACATAATGAACCATAAATTAAACAAGATCGAACTCGTAATTTCCAAATAATAAATATAGGGTAACCAACTCGTGGCTCGACTCTCCATTTGTTTTAAAAATAAAAGTCCCCAGCGGAGTCGCCAAGCTGTCGTAACCGTTTTTCGCCCGGAGGGAAAAGATCGATACCGACTCGGGGGTTTTCTCTTTGAAAATCATTTCGAAAGGTGAGGAGTCGCCACCAATCATTTAAGGTGAGACTGGAACACCATAAAAAAACCGGATGCTTTTAATAAAACATTTTTGTTTTTATCAAAATACCGGGTTTGAAGGTCTACGAAAATCCAGAAATCAGGTTCGGGAGTCGTTTACGCGTGAGGAAAGATTAGCACCCCCACAAGCGCCCAAAAATTGGTACCCAGTTAATTACCCTATATTTAAAATCAGAAATTTGGAGTTCGATATTTATTGAATTTAAAAATCATTAAGGATGAAAAGTTGAAAAGGGTATTCGTTTATCGAGATCGATAGCATTTGCCCCCGAGCATAAATACGGGAGATCAACTATTGTGCCTAATAACCGAATATTGCCTCATTTTTAGAAAACATGATGTGATTTTGAAAAGAATGTCGACTTATTCAAGGAATTACTAGTAGTAACCCCCTAAGCACGATCGCGGGAGATATACTATTAATTCCTTAATAAGTAAACAATGCCTTAGATTTGTAAAAACAATGCAATCAAACAAAATTTTATTTAATCCTAATTATACTAAAAATAAATTAAGATATTTTCTAACTTAAAATGTCAAATTATGAAAATTAATGAACTTAGGGGGTCAAATCTAAAATGTAAGTTCTAGTATTAAAGTTTAATGCTATATATTAAAATGGATTAAATATTCGCGTATTAAAAAAGTTTCTTTCGATAATTTTAAAATGATCGAATATTACCTTTAATCCAATTATTTAATAATGTCGAGTTACACACATGAGGATCTCATACATCTCGTGCAAAAATGATGTCATGTTATTTAGATGTAATTCATTTGCATGCCCGTATACTTTTCAAGGTATATTACATGTATATGCATGATAAATATCCATACTTACAAACCAACAAAATATAATCAAAATCAATAAATTAATAACCTTCACATGCTAATTTTCTATTGATATATGTAGGTATACGTTATCATGGAAAATAATAAATAAAAGGAATCTACAAAATAAAGCTATCACCATAAAAAAATAGGTTTAATGTATTTATAATGGAAAACATGCCAATTTAATATATCATACACATTATATTAAAGTATGAATGCAAGTATAATATTTTTTATATTGATTTCTTTAGCCTACCGACACTCAAACCTTGTCAGACTCAACATTGAGTCACCAAGCACTTAACCACCGAAAACAAGGGAAGTGTCACTATGCAAGTATAATATATAAACTTATATTTACAAATAACTTGCCATGTAGTAATACGTATATATCGAATAAAAAAAACTAACTTATATGCAAATAAGCAAATAAGCAAATAAGCAAATAAGCAAATAAGCAAATAAGCAAATAAGCAAATAAGCAAATAAGCAAATAAGCAAATAAGCAAATAAGCAAATAAGCAAATAAGCAAATAAGCAAATAAGCAAAAGTAATGATTTTGTACCAATACTAAATTACCAACCAACTAAAAATATTAATATATAATATGCATAAATTATATATCTATATGCGTAAATTAATAAAAATTATTATAATATATACATATAAGTGTTACGCATGTTGTATATATATAAATAATTATAATATACACGCATGTTATATATATATTACATAATGCGGATAATAAAATATACATTCTACATACTATATAATATATAATATATATAATACACTTAAATAATAATATATACTTATAAAATATGTTATATATCGTATGTTTACAAACTACAAAGCAAATGGCATAAATTATATTATAGGAATTACCAACTTTTAATATATAATATAAAAGTAAAGTAATCATACATAATATATATATAAGGCACCACCAACGTGGGTTAATAAACAAACATATCACTTAATTAAAAAAAAACCTTACTTTAAACATAGGGAACGAAGATCACTACTACCTAAAAAACAATTCTATCACTAAAGTTAAAGTATCCGACACTAAAGTTAAAGTATCCGACACTAAATATTAAAGACACAATTTTATCAATTATTTATCTCAACCAATATTAATGAAATAAGAATAAAAATTACACAATCATAACAACAAATTCGAAACTGAAATATAAAATCTACAAAATCGATGACTAAAGTACAAATACGAGTTGAATCTAGAGGATTAAACTATGATTAAATCAAAAATTATAAGACATAAAGAAAAATGGAAAAATAAAAAAAAAGATCCCCCAGTGACCATTTTGTAAAACACGCGTAAACTATGGGGGATTAAAATGCGATTACACCATTAAATTAGCTTATATATACCATCATTTAACTCTTTTTGTTTCATTTTCACTTGTTTCATAAAAAAAATGAGAGAAGCTCTCTCAATCCTCAGCCGGCCGGACAACCCAACTTGCCATTCCGGCCACCATTCCGACCACCACACACGGTGGTTGGAACTCCAAAATTCACCCAAAAAGACCCCAAAACATAGATCTACTACCCTAGGCACCAAACTAAACCTAAAAATTCCCTAAACAAACCCAAACAACCACAAATCTAACCTCGACTGTTCGGTTTCCTCAAACTCTGACCACCGTAAACTCTCCAACTCAAGTAAGCTATTGTCTGACCCTCTTTTAGACTCACAGATATATATATATATATATATATATATATATATGCATGCAAAGAGTTTATTTCTATATTTTCGAAACTAAAAAATATACCTTGAAAACAACTCTGCTATTTTTATTGCTTTTCAAATCTGAGAGTCTCCTCCTTTTACATTTTTTCCGTTTGGGTTATATAGACCTTGATTTATATTATTTTTCACTTTCTTTTTTCTTATTTTTTCTGAAACATCATGAGTGAAGTAAAAAATAGATTGAAATCACGGGTTTGTCTTGGTCTTGAGGTTTGTCTTGGTCTTGATGTTTGACTTGTGAATCCAGTTGTCAGTTGGTGGAGAAGACTGTGATGGTGCCAGATTCAGTGGCCTGGGCTCGATCTGGACCGTTGGATGGGTCCAGATCGGACGGCTCTAGCAAGGCACCGACAGCATCCAAGGGGGAAATCTTAACTGAGAGTTGATCTAGACCGTCCATCTCCAACTTGATCGTATGACTGAGATTAGGTGGTTGCCTTAGAATATGATGAAACCCTAGTAGGTGTTGGGTTTTCATCCTTAGGTTTGCTGGACTGTAATTTGGGTTTGAAGTATTTGGGTCGAATCTGTAAATAAAAATATTATTTTAGTAATCTTAAATAATAATAATAATAATAACTTAATAAAAACAGGACGAAAAAAATCGAGGGTCGACAACATGCAAATGCAACTGTATATATAATTTATAAATATGTTAAGGATTAATATTATTTAAATTTGATTAAGTAAAACTATATTTTAATTATTTTAAAGTAACATATAATAAATGCCTTTAGTATTAGTTCATAGGATAATTGAAAGAAAGTCCTCATCATGTTATAGTTGACATATGCAAAAAAATATTAAGGCGAATTTTTTTTTTTTTGATAATTTAAGGCGAAAATTAAGACCTGTATATATATATATATATATATATATATACACGAATGCACAGACACAACGTAATATCATAGATGGAAAACATATTTAAAATATATGGATACCTAAACAAAACAAAATATATTACATTAACATGGAAAGAAAAGAAATGAGGAACATTATGATCGCATATATACAAATATTAAATCCCTTAATAAAGGGTTATTGAAAGCAAACATACCATATTTTATTTGAGTATATATATATATATATATATATATATATATATATATAATGAACAAATACAAATACAAAGCAAACATACATATATTCTATTAAATATAAATGAACAAATAATATGGTAAAAAGATGAACAAAACAATAAACTCACAACCCAAGTAAAAGAAAATTAAAACTAAATACAAGGCTAAAAAAAGATAGTAGAAAAAGTTTCAGTTTCCAATAAACAAATATAGGCTTAAATAAAACATACATGAAAGGACTAAATTAAACATCATCGAAATAAAGTGCTAAAAAATGGACAAACATGAAGTAAGGATCAAAACGAAAGTATATAAAATACCAGAAGACCGCGCAGCAGAATATCCCCTAACAAAGGAAACACACGAATCTGTCGAGTAAAAAGGCAATGAACAATAAACAACACTCACTTTTCATTTCAATATTTTTTTAATCAAAGAAAAACTCATATTTTCTCTGTTTTGTTCTTCAAATCTTCATGTTGTTCTTAACAAGCCAAGAAAACACCGTCGCTCTGCCTTGCCGACTGTCACTCCTCGGCTCCTGCCACGGTTCACCGGCGACGGGAAAAAAATAAACACTCTTTTTGAATCCTTTTCTCCTCTCCGACCCAAATTCGAATTCAAAATCTCCTAATGAACACAAGATCTCAGTAGATCTAAAAAACTCGTTTTATATCCTTCAAGAACAGAAACTCGCCAGAGGCGTTACAAATTTGGGGAGATCTCTTTCAAAAGTGGACCTCAGCTTCTTTAAGGTTTTGCTCTTTGTTTTGTTTTTACCAAAAATCCTCCCGGGACTGTTCTCTCTTAATTTTCCCTTTTTTTTATTTATCAAATCCTTGCTATTCTCGGCTCTCCTCTTTTGATGATAATGGTTGCTTTTTTATTTTATCTCCAATCCTCTCATTTTTCCTCTCGTTTTGTAGGTATATGAAGGCCTCATGATCCTCTGATATTTTTGGCTTGATTCGTGCTACCCTTTGACGTTGTGGTCCTTATTTTTGGATGAGTTTGGGTGGGGATTTTGTACGAAGATGGCAGAGGTTGGGGGACCAGATCTGACATGGCCATCTTGCTTGACGGTGGAGCCTCTACGCGGCATCTGAACCATCGGATGTCTTGGTACCGTTTGGGGAAGGCGGCGGCAACTACCCCTTTGTATTTAGGGTTTTTTTGGATCACCGTTAGATTCAACAGTCAAGATCATTGACGGCTAGGGTTTATGAAATACCAAAGTATGTGGGCTTTAGATAGCTTGGGTTATATAATGGACCTATAAATCAAATTAATAAAAGTTAGCCTTATTTGAATTTAGAAATTATATATATATATATATATTAAACAACCCATTAATTCTTATGTTTAAATTAATCAAAGAAAAATAATTAAATGTAAATCTAATGAAATTTGGATAAGGGCTCCAAACAAAACGAGTATAGTCATGACTTCTCCTTTGTTTTTGACTTCTACATGTGAGACAACTCCAAATATTACTTAACCATGTATAGTTTCATCAAACTTTACGAACAACTCCTTTAAATCACACATGCGATTGCTTACATATTATCGAGATACTAAATATTTTTCTTAATTTTTTCATTTTCTTTATAAGTGAAGAATACATGAGATTTTTCAACATTTTCTTCTTCAGTTGATGTTACATTATTTCTTTCTTCTTTAAAAGTTTATCTACACTTGTAACTAACGAGATCATACTTTTTGCAATTATAGTATTATACTTGTGATTTATTTCCTTGTTGAATTTTGCCTCGACCTTTGAATCCTTATCCACGAAAATTTTGACTTGTTTGAGCAATGTCATATAATTGGCCACAAGTCCACATGTTCCTTGTTCACCTCTGTATCTTCCACTATAACACCTCAATTTCCTCAACCTCGTGTGCAACTATTGTAGGCTTCATCTTTGTTAACGTCCATCTTTATTTGTGGACCTTGCTCAAAATTTTTAGAATATTCATTTGATTCATATTTTGCTCATAGGATTCTAGTAAACCCACAAGCTAATCGATCGGTATATGGGACAAATATTTTGACTCTTCAATTGTAGCAACCACGTAATTCAATTTTTGTGTTAGTGACCACAAAATTTTTTCTATCACTCTGACTTGATCAAGCGGTTCACTATTTCATTTCATTTACTATCGTTTTTACATAGCTAACACAATCTTCGATGATTTCTATATTTTTCATTTTTAACAATTCAAATTTAACTCTAAGCATATGTAAACATTCATTTTTCTCTGTTTTCTACATCTTGATGAGATTTTTGTAAAATCCCATGCTTGTTTTGCAGTCTTCGCATCATATATTTTTAAAAGGTAGATTCTTCTACTAATTGAAAAATTAAAAATAATGTCCTCTGGTCTTTCTTATGGGATTCTTTTAATACTCGTTTCTCTTCATTTGACAGTGTTATTTTTGTTGCTGCATTTTTTTGGTTCGACATAATCATCTTGGACGATGTCCCAAAAATCTTGCAAACCAAGTAACACCTTTATTTGAATACTCTAATTTACATAGTTAGACTTTGTCAATCTCGGGATTTATGGTTGAATCATGTTAGCCATCATCTCTACTGCGTGAACTCGAACCTAGCTTTGATGCCACTTGTTGGAAACATGAATTGACACTCGATAAACTTTATAACTTGTACGATATTATTAACAAGAAACAAAACACGAGTACAAACACGAACAAAACACTACACTAGTTGTGGCTAGTTTATAGAGACCACAAACAATCAAACCTTTGCTAAGCTTCCCCATTTCACTCACGTATTTTTTTGCTTACACACCATTACATTAAAAACTAAACTATCTACCCATATTTATAGAAGTATTTATCCGGATAAGTTGCAATGAATTGTGGCCATGAACTGTTGTCATCTTATCTTCTTAATATTCATTGTCGTCGTAATTGTAACACTGTGAATATTAGGCTAGTAGTTTCGTGTTAATGTAAGAATTAATTTAATGGATTCAGTATAGCATGAAAGTTCATTGGTTTGAATTTGGGTTCAATTGGGTAATAAATTAGCTTTACTAGAGATAAAAATAGGATTTTTAAGCTTAGGATGAAAGTATAGAGACTTAGATTTAAAGATACCCATTTAGGAATGACAGGGTTGATTTGGGAGGATTTCTAGATTATTTTACTGTGGGTTTGGAGGAGCTTGGGCAGACTACTTTTCTTTTTCTCTTACCTAAATCTTCTCCTTATACCTTTAATATTTTCTTTTTATTCTTTTTTTTCAAGCTAGAGAAATGGAAAAGTTTGCACCTTTCTTCATCTCCTTCTCCAATCCAAAATATAGAGGTAAGATTCAAAATCTAGAGTCCTTGAGCTTCATGAAAAGATCACCATCTCCATAAATGGTGGTTTTGAGCTTTATAAAGGTCTTAGGGAAAATTTAAGCTCCAAGGGCTTCATCTAATATTTCCATTTGGATCTCATGTAGTTTAGTTTTTTTTTCAACAAGTTACAATTCTTCTTTTGGCTTTAAAAATATTGAAAGCTTGAGATTAATAGTAAAGTGGTGCAAAGAGCCCCCATTAAGCTAGGTCAAGGAAATGTTAATCCTTGGGTAAGCTATAGACGATTTGAGTTGCTAGGAGCTAAGGTAACACTGTATAACTCTTCCTTACTACTTGTATGTCATCTACATGAGTTTGCTTGCTTATATGGGGTAGAAGAGCATGTAGGGGCTTGATTTGTTGAAATAGACTTTTTTGTGTTAAGTTGGGGTAAAAAAAATGTTGTGTAATGACCCTTAATGACTTTCATAAACTTCAATAATCAACTTATAACTTAGAATAAGTGTTTTAGGTGATTTTGGTGGTGTTTCTTGCACAAAACATTGTATTTCTGAGTTATAGTATCGATACTATTCATATTAAGGGTGAAAATTTTGGTTTTCTAGGTCACATTATCGATACTGGATGAACTGGTATCATTATTGGTCCCTTGGTATCGGTCATGAGGGTTGTGGTATTGATATTTGACATTGTATATTGATATTGGAAGAATTGGGGTCCACACAAGATGAACCAATATCCATACTGAAAGCTTGGTATCAATACCTAAGGCGGTTTAGTGAACTTTAAGATGTCAAATAAACTCGAGAGTGGGGAGTTTAATGTTAATTGAGATCATGCATCTAGCTTGAGTTTGAGAGGTTAGTAAAATGACCTTATGGGCTAAAATTACCAAATTTCCCTTATGGGCTAAAATTACCAAATTGCCCTTATGGGCCTAAGTGAATGAAATAATCTATATGAGTGATAGTTTGAGTTGTATATTGGTTAAACAATGATATGAGATATTTAGCTTTATATCAAGAGAGTTTTCATGAAGACTCAGTAAAAAATAATATAAATTACTAATATCAAGGTTTTTGGCTAGATAATATTGGTACTTTATACATAGAGTATCAATACTATTTGTCGAACATCGATACCAAAGGGTGAGGTATCAATACCATCGTTAAGTCTCAAATTTCAATAGCTAGATTTTGTAGTACCCTAGGAGAGAAGTATCGATACTCCAAGTAGGGGTATCGATACTACATGGCTTTCTCATCTCACAGAATGCAGACTTGGTATCGAAACCAAGGGTGGGTTTTGATACTAAAGAGTCAATATCAATACTAAAAGGATTAACATTGGTGTCATCGTAATGAATTTAGTAAGAAACCTAACCTTAGCTTAAGGTCTCAGGAAGGGATATAGGACTGCCAAAGGTACTATAATGAACTCACAAGTGAAGACAACTGATGAATCCAATAAAAGCTTAAGAATCTTATATTGTAAGATGCCATAATACTTGCCCTTGTGTGACACTTAAGAAACAACTAGGACACTCGATTTACTTGTGTATGAAGATAACGTGCAAGTTGTCATTCCAATTAAAAGATAAATTAAAGGAAGGTGTGATGAGAGCGACTAGGGATTCGATATCTATTAACTAACCCTATGTCAAGTGTCAGACTAGTAATAATATACCAAGTGGGTAATATTGAGTATTAATTGCCTTAAAGTCAAAAACACTAATAGCTTAATAATCTATAGCATAACGTTTTAGAGGAGATAACGAGCGAGACAATAGCGAGTGAGGGGATAACCTCACCTAATTTGAGTTGAGTTATGTTAGTGAGTAGTTGAGCTACCTTTTTTTCCCTTGTGTGGTATTGATTGATATGTGTGGCCTATGGGACCTTAACATGTTTGCATGTACATGACAATCGTCTTGTTTGATTAGAAATATTCTGATATATCTCAGCTAGTGCCAAGGCACTTCAATTGCTGGTTGGGCGGAGAAACCCCAAGACTCTAAGGAGTAAGCTGACTGGGTGCACATTTTCAATGTAGTTCCTGATCTAACCCCAGATACCTAAGAGTATCATAGGTAGGCTAAATGGGTGTTTGTCCCAAGATGCAACAAACCCTCCGACCACACCATGATGCCTACCTCAACTTGTGTGTTTGATGTTTATGTGTTGCATATAACTGCATAGTAGCATGATATTATGGTTAGAGACCAGTGAATGTATATTCATGGTGAGACCCTAAGCAAACGATTAAGGGAAACATGAGACTCAAACCATTGTGATGATGGATGTACCTTGAATATATGGTTTAGTAGCTTGATGGCATAGTAGTATCGCTTCTCTGACTGTATGCTTATACTATGAATGCACATGGCATAGTAGAGGTATTGTGTGGCGCAGAGCTTGCGATCTCAGCGTTCAGAATGTGTTTTCGTTCGTAGATTTCAAGTTTTGTAGAGTGTGACTGGATAACGATTTCGTTGGAGGAATCTCAACGGTGTATCAGAGTACAACGATGACAACTTAGTGGGTATGTAGCAGTCATGATTGGAAATTAGTCAATTTACAACATTTTAATTATTTATTTATTTGAGTTTATAAATTGGGGCCCCGCTTTGCAATGATTTCATCCTTGTGTAAATTTTTTAATGCGAGTATATTTTCAAAAGAAAAAGAAAGAAATTGTTAGTCATTTTGATTATTTCGTGTGATACTTGAATCATCGGGATTTGGGGTTAAAGTAATGGAGTTTTTTGTGTTGCCAGCATTTTGGAAATTCTCCAAATGTTTGCTATCGCCATTTTTTATTTCTCCATGTGTGTGTGTTTCTGTGTAATTCTTTCTTTGCTGCCACGTGTTGCTTATTCTTGCTGATTCAATGTTCCTAGCCTCCTCACCATCTTAATTGCCAAGGTTTTATTGCTGCAACATGGAGTTTGAAACATTTGTCAAGTGTGTTGCCAA